GGTGTTATTTTTTACCCTAGATTAAAATTAGAAGGTTTAGAAAGTGGATTAGATAACTTAGGTGAATTTTTAGCTATAGACACTACTGACCAGTTTCTTATTATAAAGGAAAAAATATATTCTCTATATATCTCTTACGAAAGTAGGTTTAGAAACACACCTCGTGTTGACCAACCGCAACAACGAGACGACAATCCGCATTCATTCTTGAATGTTTTCGGGTTGTCTAAGAAGAAGAAGAAGAAGACGACGACGATGAGTCAAGGTCAAGAAGAATCTGAGAGTGGAAGTGGATCTTCATCAAGAGGTGGCGGCGGATTCAACGAGTTAATGGCGTACCTGAGTGAGGGCTTAGTTGTAGACAGTAGTGAGGTGTTTGATTTGGTTGAGTGGTGGAGGGCACGAGCATTAACTTGGCTGATCCTAACACGACTGGCAATGGATATTTTTTCAATCCCGGTCTCCACCGTTGCAGCCGAACAAGCATTCAGTACAATCGGCCGAATACTTGAAGAACGGAGAAACGCATTGCAGCAGGATATTGTTGAAGCTTTGGTGTGCATCAAGGATTGGGACCGTTCCGACCAACGCTTACATGATACAATCTCACCGGCAAACCAAGAATGGATCGGCGAATTTAATAGATTAACTTCTAATTTTCAAGATGATCCTTCTGCTTCATCTTGATAATTTCTTTGTAAATATTTATTTACTTTGTAATTTCTAATTTGTATAGTGTTTATTGTAATTTGTAATCTTGTATAGACTTTGTAAGTTCATCAAATTTGTAATTCGTCCCACAATGATTGCACTCTTTTTTCCTTACCAAGTTTTTATCCCAATTGGGTTTTTCTTAGTAAGGTTTTTAATGAGGTAATCATGAATTACAAATTTAAAAATCAATGAAGAAGTAATTTTTTTTATATAGTTCGTTCGTGTCGTGTGTTCATTTCATATTTCAAATTGTAATATACACAATTAAACATTGTAAATTGTAATTATACAAATACTTATTTCAACAACATAAAAATATAATATAAAAAAAAAAAAAAATTCAGGCAGCCGGTCGGGCATCGGGCAGCCCGACCGGGCACGAGCAGGCTTCCTCTGCCTGAAGCCCGTCCATGGGAATTTTCGGGTCGGGTCGGGCAGCCTGAATTTTCTAGCATATCGGGTTCGGTCATCGGATAAAAATTCAGACTTTTCGGTGGTCACGGACGGCCCATCCAAAGTTTCAGCACTGCTTATTAATGTAAAAATTGCAACTCATATAACACATCAATTAGTGCACAAAAGTTGAAACAAACATTGACATCCCTAGCATTATTCTTTTTTAATTCAACAAGACTGAAGACCTTTAATTAAAGAGAAAATTGTTGAACTTAACTTAGAGTTTATGGGTCTAGAACTTACCCTTACGCTTGATTAATACATGTTAACTAATATAGTTATTTGACTAAAAAGAATATTAAGCAAGAGTAAGGTGTAAAACTCCAGACTCATGTACTCTAATAAGTATTTGTCTCCTTTCCTCTTAATTAAATAAGAAAATTGTTGAACTTACCTTTGTATGAATTTAGCTTTTTATCTCTTGATAAATACCATTTTGACTAATATAATTATTTGACTAAAAATGATATTAATCAAGAATAAAGAGTAAAAATTCAGACCGATCTCTTCTCCCCTAATTAAACTAAGAGAAAATTGTCGAACTTAGCCTTAGAGTCTATGAGTCAGGAACTTATCCTCACTCTTATTAATACCCTTTTGACTAATATAGTTATTTGACTAAAAAGAGTATTAATTAAGAATATAGGGTAAAAATCTAGACTCATGCCCTCTAAGGGATATTTGTCTCATTTCCCCTTAAACTAAGAGAAATTTTAACAAATACCCCTTAAAAGTGCATACATTTTTTTATCCATTACTCTTAATTAATACTCTTTTTAGTCAAATAACTACATTAATAAAATTGTATTAATCAAGAGTAAGGAGTAGAAATTCAGACTCATACACAAGATAAGTCAACAATTTTCTCTTAAACTAAGTACTGCGCATAATGGCCCAAAAGATCTATATTTCAAGAGAGGGAAAAAAAAATTAAAAAAATAAATAAAACCTTGAAATATGAGTTATGGAGTTGATAGTTAACAAGCAAGTGATTCAAACCTGTGCATAAATTGGTTAGTTGTACTTAATTATTATTAAGGAGAACTTTATACGGTGGAGTGGGGACCTATAATCTTGACATTAGGATTTAAATAGAACAATATTTTTTAAGTGGATTATATACATAGATTCGCACACAAGCTAGGAGCTCCTGGAACAACATTTTTAAGTGGATTATATACATATATACATGTATATTTATATATTTTGTTGTCTATGATTACTGAAGGCCCTTCTCCATTACCTCTTCTTCATACTCTAGTGTGATATATTAATCTAGCGAGAGAAAGAGAGAGAGAGAGAGAGAGAGAGAGAGAGAGCTTTGAGTAGAAAGCAAGTAAGAGTACATAGAGAAAACCACACTTCGATTTTTCCCAATACGAAGCAAGCATATATGCCCTTGTTTGCATGGCAAAAAAAAAAAAGAAAAAAAAAAACAATATGACCCCAAAAAGAAGAATTTAGAAGGCGTTGATCAAACAACTTCCAATAAAATACACTCTGTTCTTTGTTCTTTTTGCCCCTTTTTTTAATCCTTCAAACGCACTTATCTAAGCAAAGTGACTCATGTTATAGCAAAGTTTTGGACTGCTAAAGAATCAATCTTTATGGCCAACTAGCCACTTGTCTATCACATTATGCACTTTTTTTTTTTAGGGCCGTCCATATTTGTCAATCATCTATAACCATGTATGTATATATACACAATAACATCTTCTTTCTTTCTTTGCTTTTTTTCTCTCGTGGTTTTTGAAGAGCCAAAGTTTGAGAAGAGAAGCTTGGGAAGTCATGAAAAGAAGCGATAAACGAAGCCTCAAGAGGCCTCCTTGCAATGTCGTTTTTCTCTATTTTATTGTGCTAGCCATTTCCTTCACTCATTGTGGTAAGCCATCTTCTATATGTAATAGATAAACTTGTATGTTTATATTATATATAATAGAGGATTTATGTATTCTGTCTGCTTAATACAACCACATTATGCTCTTTTGTCTTAAGTTTATATTTTTTTTATTTTTTTTCTTTTGTGGGGGGTTAGAAAATCCTTGACATGATATATAACTGTGTACATTTCAAATTGTTTGATCATGAAAATAATGTATTATTATTATTATTTGGTCGTTCTGGCTATAATAGGAAGGAAATGACTAAGCACGTAGCCCCATTATTAGGAAATAGTTCTTATTAAAAGTTTATATATATATATATATATATATATATGTATATATAGCAACAAGCACTGGATTAATGTGCCTGTATACGTAATAGATGAACAAAGAAGTCACTAACTCGCTACAAGAAGAGTGTAGTGACAAGAGAAGTGTTGGATGACACCAAAACCAATAATATATGCCTAAGAATATTCAATATTTTCTACTTTTGGTTCCAATAAGACTTCCTGATTAAGAAACAAGGACATTATGTATGTAATATGGCATTGCCTCACTTCCAAGCAAACATAACTACAATGTGTGTGAGTGCATAATATATAGATGAGATTTTAAATTAAAATGTATAATAAGTTGATAAGGCTGGCTTTTTTATTTTATTTTATTTTTTTTAATGTGCAAACAGATGCTAAAAGATCATCAAGGAGGGTACTAAACAAAGCTCCAATTAGGCATCAAAACAGTTTGTTCCTCATGACGGCGGCGAAACTGAATTTAGTGAAGTACCTAAACTACGATTCTTCGTCCAATTCGGGATCCTATGGTGTAAGCTCTCCATTTAATTTGCCACCTTATGATTCACTTGCTCCAATTCCCTTGCCTGAAAATGCCCCTCCGTATTGCATATACCCTCCTAATACCCCATTTACCACAAACCCTTCTCCAATTGGTAACACACCCCCTTCACCATTTTACTACCTCCCACCTCTCCTTCCCATTCAAAACCCTCCCACCAGCCCGACGGGTGCGATCCCGAGCCCGACCGGTGCCATCCCGAGCCCGACCGGATTCTCCCCTTACCCTAATCCACCAGGGACCGTTCCCAGCCCACCCGAGTTCGTACCCAGCCCGACAATTCCGAGCCCACCCTTTTACGAGCCCAGCCCACCGGGATTTGTCCCAAACCCACCTTCTACTGTTCCATCACCCATTGGATTTGGCCCAACCCCACCAATGTTCCTCCCTCCTATTGTGTACCCTCCACCAATCGGCCGACCACCCCGAAACGGCCCACGGAAGATAGCCCTGTGGTGTGTTGCCAAGCCCTCAGTGCCCGACCCAATCATTCAAGAGGCCATGAATTATGCTTGCGGGTCGGGAGCAGACTGCGATTTGATCCAGCCCAGTGGGTCGTGCTTTGAGCCCAATACACTATTTGCTCACGCTTCCTTTGCTTTCAATAGTTACTGGCAAAGGACTAAAGTGGCTGGTGGCACGTGTGAGTTTGGAGGGACAGCCATGCTAGTCACTGTGGATCCAAGTAAGAATCTTTTCTCCTTCACTATCCTTTACTTAAGGCTAAACCTTTGTTTTGTTTTGCAAAAAAAGAAAAAGTCTTAAAAGAATTAAAAATAGTGCATATTCTCTTCAATACATGCATTCCCAAAATTCACGAGGTTTCTTTAAGACAGAAAAGTTTACACTTTCTATTAGATTGCAAACGACAATCACGAGAGATAATTCATAATCAAATACCACTTTCCATTACTTGTCTTGATGATTGCAAACGACAATCTTATAAAATCAATTCATTATGAAATACCCAAAAGAAGTGCACTGAACTTGATTTTTGCTTCTGTTCATAGGTTATGACGGGTGCCGCTTTGTCTTCCGTTCATGAAGAGAAAAACTTACTCTAGACGGCCGTCCACTCTCTCTCTCTCTCTCCATATTGCTTTGTTTTTGTATCGAAAAATCACAAAAATTTTCCTATTATGTAGATGGAATTAAAACATCAATTTTTGTAAGTAAATTGCAAATAGCGTGATTTATCAAAAGAAATTCCATCATGAACATAGGCAACTATAGAAAGTTAAAACCTTCATAAACAGATGTCAGAGAAGTCCTCTTTTTAACGAGGGACCTGCCTCTTTCTATACACTGCTACACTTGTACCGCATTTACATAACTTCAGTTAATAAAAATGAAACTTTCTTACAATCATCACACTAGGCAAGCATTTTCTTTTTTCCGTTTCCTTCTGGCCCAGACTGAAATAAAATTACACCTCAGAAGATCCGACAATGTTAAGGGTCCGGGTTAGGGCCACTTTTTTTTGCTCATGAAGTGCACAAGCTTCTTTCTTTCTTTCTTTTTAAAAAAAAAAAAAAGAAATTTCCAATTATTTTATGGACGTGAAATCTAAGGCTTAATTTGGTAGAAAGTAATACAGAAACAGGTGTTTTTGGTGCTAATTTAGAGACAACGAGAAGCAAACTTGGGGGGAAACAAAACATTTTGCGCACTTGAGCCCGTTGAAGGACGAGATTGTGTTCGTTTGGTTCGTATATTTAGAATTATAATTCAAAATTATTCTCGTTTTACGTGTATTTTTTGTGAGAGAAAAATACTATAGAGAATCAAGGATAAATACAGAAAACAAACAAACGGGCACTGAAATTTTGAATGACAAAGAAGCACATTACCTGACGTGCATGCAGACATTTCTACCCAAATTTTAATAACCGTCAAGCGGAAAAAGAAAAAGACCGTTTTGCCCTAATAATCAATTAACTTGGAAAAGAAAGAAAGAAAAAATAAATCTAAGAGTAAGATTGTGTTGCCTTGAACAGAACAAGAAAAAAATAAACATTGGAAACCAAGTAAATACCATCGACATACAAGTATATATCATCAACTTATAAGGGGAAACAAAAACGAGACACCCACATAGTCATATCTCCCGTCCATTACCGTCCAGTATTTGTGAAAGCTTGGTCGTCGTGTTCATCCGCGACGAGGTTCAGGCGAAGAAAGCACAGATTACAAATGAATCTTCTCAGGCAGGGATGTCGAAGGATCCCGTCAGTTTCAAAATCATAAACATATTCAGTGTCTTCTTTGTTTTGCACGCTTCATGGTTTGCTTGCCTTTATTCTTCCATTTTTCATTCCCAGCTGGTTGATTTTTTTCTTCTATCTCTCTAACCTTGCGCTTTCTGAAAGGATAAAAAAAAAAAAAATGTGAGCCATAGAACAATAAAATTAACACATCATAAGTTTCAACAAGAAAATAACAGGCCGTTGTAAAAATATCAGTCCCAAAGCTTTTCAAGAAGTTACAGTTTAGTCCAAGAATTTGTTTTTGGTTGATGGTCGGAATTTAATATTTTTGGCAGTTTGGTCCCTAACATTAATGGCCCATTTGATTCATAGCTTGAAACAGAAATCTAAATTTGTTAAAATTTTTGTGAGAGAATACGCTGGCACAAAGGTTTGAATGGAAACAACAAACAAACGTTATGTGATTAACACATGTCCATAAAAATCTTATGCGACTTTTTTTTCTCTTTTTTTTTTTTTTTTGGTGCAAAATTTCAATGGGCATCTGATTATCTCCTTTAAATTTTAGAGATCTATCAACAAATTTATGACCTGGGACCCAACCTGCCAAAAAAAATTTCGGGGACGTATCGGCCAAAAGACAAGTTTAGGTACTAAACTCTGATAATAGTTCAGGCACTGCCAAAAACCCTAAAAATTCTGTTTCACCATATCTACTGGAGAAAGGCTAACTCAAACCATCAACAGATAGCTGCATGGTGTCCCAAAGATTATTTATGTTATTGTGTTCAATCAAACAATCTTTTACTTGGTCAACATGACTCTGAAATTAGCATAATTGGAAACTAAAACCGAACATACATTATGTTAGGATCCGTTAACTTGAGAACTTGTTTGGTTAGTGGGCTGGAAGAGTTAGTAAGAATTAGTATAAATAAAAGGCTTAGTAGCTCATTAGAGGTATGTTGTGGTTTTGAGAGTTTTGGGAGACTGAGATTAGAGAGAGCAGTAGTCTCTCGAATACCACCAAATTAGGAGTCCCCGGAGTACTCGAATTCTCCGTTCTATCCTTTACACTTCCATTTAGTAGTGTTTGGTAGTGTAATTAGAGATTAGCTAATGGTTTTCAATAAAAGAATTCCCTTATTTCTATCCAATTCCTTGTCAATTTCAGGATTGATATGCGTATGTTTAGCTGTTTGGCTGTGGAAAACCTAGTTTATTCACTTAAATTCATTCAGAATATGCTAAAGACATAAAATAATTAAAAGGCTTTTGTGCCCTCCTCACCGGTACTCGCTGAGTGTACGATCAGAAAGCAGCTCATTGGCAAGGGATGCCTTCCTTTCCTTCTTGGTCAATCTACCAGAGAAGAAATCTAATGGAGACTCTATCACTGTTCCCACCTGATTCATAGTCGGAAAATTGGAAGTTTAGAATACTTTATGATAGCAGAACTATAACATAACAAGAAGGGGAAAAAGGCAATCTTAATACCATTTCTATGACTTCCTGTAGTATATTACCGATATGACACTAAATACTTGCCTGAAAATACTTGGTTGACTTTGACTCGCCCTTCTTGTAATGCCTCTTCGGATCCATCACATTCCTTAACTATAAACATTTTCATAACGTATTAAATCCTATCAGTCAAATACCATGGTTCCTCTTAATTAAATTGGTAGCACAATGACTATTTCAAAGACAAGGTTTCCATAAGTTTCTACTAATTTATGAACAGTTGAAACTGACAGTTTAGTCTTGTTCAGAGATTAAATAAAATCATGTCTATGCATAAGTTGTAAATGCTAAAAAAGTTATATGGTAACAAAATTCAAGTAATACTCGATTATTGCGATAGTATCGAAACTGAAAGGGAAGAGGAAAAGTATTAGTGGATTGACTAAATATTCAAAAGAATTACAGCATTACACCATCTATTGTATTCTCATGCACAAGATGGAGGGCGAAGAATGTGCATACTTGCTGTGCATACTTGCTCCATCTAAGAACGGTCCTTTGTAAAATTGTAGTAGAAGAAATATAAATGAGAAGTTTAAAAAATAAAATAAGCTCAGGGGGAGTGGTGGGTTGGGGGGGGAACGTTGCTAGCTGACCTTGAATCGTATCTCAGCATCATTGAAAAATCATCTAAATAAAAGAAAGTGACACTAAGGTCAATGCTCAAAACAAAAGTCAAACAACAGAGCTAGAGGCTTCCTAGAAGTTAATCCAATCTTTGCCATCGATAACTTGAATTTAATGATAACTAGTCATTAACAACTATGAGTGCAGAATTAGAAATATATAAATGTGTATTTTATCTTTATATAATTTACTTATGAGAGATCTATATTTTATTAAAAGGAAGAAGGACACAAAAAGGAAAGGTGAACCGTGAACATGTAGTCACCTAAAACCTAGAGCAAATTGGAGGGGTTGTGGGCACTTGGAAGTTTAAGTTTCATAATATACCATAATTCACAGAATGCCTTTATCAAAGATCAAAAGTTAACAAAACATAAGCATTTACAGAATTTCTACTTTCTAACAGAGCAGTGCTCCATGAACTTAAAGTGAAAAATCTAGTGACTACTTGAACGGAATTAGTTAGTGCGAGGAACACAAACTCCAATATAAAGGAAAGAGACCGCTAAACCTTTAATAATTGAAGGTCTTTCTGCAGTTCTGAAGTCATGGTTGGTGCCGGCATGTCAAACCTAGTTAAAAGCAAATTAGAACAAAAACAAATAAAGATGCATTACAGCTCTAACCACCATTAATAACCGAGTAAGTGAATAACATAAACAAACAAACTAGAGGGTGTTGTTAAGAAACACGCTAGGCAAGATCCCTCAATAAAAAATAGCACATACCAACTACTCCCAGTAGTATCTTTGACTTGTTTTCGTAGTAACTTGTTCAACTTTCTTTGGTTATTTGGCGGAACAAAAAGACCATCCACAAGCTCTGTACTGGCTTTCCAAAGTACACTGCTTTCGGGCTGAGTTGATTGAGCTTTAGTGTAAGAACTAGAGCCACTTGAAGTTGCCGACGACAAGTTTGGCAGCTTTGGTTCCCATGATAGACCAACAACACCCTTGCTTTCTCTCATTCTAAACCATAAGAAAAAATCTGTGTTAATTAAACCAGTGGGCTTCTACAGTTGTACTACGCATAAACAAGTACGTCAAAAAAATTATATTCAGCAGATAAAAAGATGACGTCTTTGACTGCTGAGAAAATGAAAGGATGAAAAAAGTAATATTTGTAGGCATGGTTTGAAAAGAAGAATCAAGAACCGAGGTGCTTTCTCTAATCAAAGTGCGGCGTAAGCCTCAAGGTGGATTGAATCCTAAGCCTCGAATGAAGGGCATTCTACACACTTTACACCCCCTATGTTTTGCCGAAATAACACAGTCCCTTAACCAGAATGAAGTAAACTAATTTGACAAATCTCAAAGAAATCTCAAAAATATGAACTTCTAACCATATAAAACTAACACCAATCTTCCAGCCATAGTAAAATAATCAACAAAAAATCACAAATAGCTAAACACAAAAATAAATAAAGATGGCAGTTTTCAACAACCAAACAAATTCCAAAAACATCAATCGATCAATTATCAACAAATTCTACAATAAAACGAATCCCATAAACTACTTATTTCTACTTCATAAATTAAACTTGAAATTAAGATAATTTTGGGAAATTGGGACATTGATTGTTAGAACTAGATAGCATTGTACGCAAAGAAGGAAGGAAGGGGTGGGGGGGAAATCCTAGTTTCAGGCAAGGCATCCATGGAGGGAGAAGAAACAAACAGTAATTTACACTTCTAAAATAAATCAGTGATTTACTCTTATGGAAGATCGAAGGGAACGATACTCAAACGTTGAAATTAGGAGAGAAGACGACGCCGCCGAGAGAAAGCTCGGTCGCAATCCGCTCGTTCCCGAAGTCACAACAGCACTGCCACTCGACGGTAAGGGGCAATTCGGAGCTGCGGTATCGTCGGCAGCGGCGGGGGGGGGGTGCAGGGGAAAGAGAAGAAGTGCTAGAGTAATTGGCTTTCTTGAGAAAATACAGGGGTTCAACTTATGTTTTAGTCGTGGAGGTAAAGAGAAATAGCAAGGGACAAAAAATCGATGGGGAGGAAAACAAAAAAGGATTGTGTTAATTTTCAAGTTCTGGTTCAAGCCCAGATGCACCGATGGGGAGAAATAGCAAGGGACAAAAAAGGATGAAAAAATCGTGGCAGTTCTGGTTCAAACCCAGTGAAATTTTCAAGTTCAGATCAAAATTTAACACAAATCGGAAAGTTCAGATCAAAAATTTTTCACAGAAAAAGGAGAAAAAAAGGAATCATACTCTCTGGTGGTGGCGGCAGAGGAAAGTCCGGCTACGGCGTGGTGGATCGGAAGGCGGCGGCGGCGTCCTCGACGGAAGCGGTGCTGGGTCTGGACGAGAGAGAGGCTGGGTCTGGACGAGAGAGAGAGATGGGTGAGATGCGTGGGTGAGAGAAATGGTAGGGTAAATTGTTTCCCGTAAATATTACTTTGCCGGGAAAGTGAATAACAGGTTTAAGATTGGGCATATCAAATATAGGATAATCAACGGAAATCTTTTAAATTCTCATATTTAAGTCGTTCAGTTTATTAAGTTGAGTTTTTAATTTGAGTTAAGATGTAATATTGTGTAAAAAAATTTTATTATAATAAAAAAATTAATTGTGATTATTTATAAAAAAAATTTTACTTCGAGAAACTCAAATTAAAGAAATATAAAATTTATGAGTTTTATATTATTATATTTTGAGGTAATTTTAGCAGTAAGGTGTTATTTACTTTCTTAGGAAGTAATATTTACGGGAAACAATTTGCCCTGCCATTTTTCTCACCCACCCATCTCTCTCTCTCGTCCAGACCCAGCCTCTCTCTCGTTCGATCATCCACTACTCTACTCCAGCGGTCGCGACCATAACCCCGCCTCGTTCCAAAACTTTGAGAGAGAGAGAGAGAGAGTCGCAGAGGAGAGAGAGAGAGGAGGAAGAAGAGCAATCGGAGGTAAGTTTTTCCTATTTCCTTTCCACTTTTCAATTCTCGTTTCGCTCTTGATGGAACATTGATTAGGGTTAAAGAGTTGTTTTTCTTCTCCCGTTGGATTGAAGTATTTGGTTTCAATTTAGGGTTTCGATTTTTGAAACGATTTATGTTTCTGGGAGATTCTTATTTTGCAAGGTCTGATTATTTAGGGCGTTTGGTTTCTTTCTCTTGATTTTGCACTATTGCAATTGGCATGTTTCTTTCGTGTTCTTATGAGAGTTCAACTGTCCAAGCATTCAAAGAAACTGGTTTTTTTTTCTGTCGTTTTTGTGAATTTATACATTGTGCCTACCTATGGTGCTGCATTGAACAAATCGGGCAAAAACAAATATGTCCAATTCCAACAACCAGACCACTGTATCAAGACAGTCAAAATCCTTTTCAATCACAAACCCAACACATAAATAACAATCAGGCCAGTCTATCATTCTTTTTTAATTAAATTCCCTTTGGAAATAAAATAAAGACAAAGGGGGAAAAAGAAAAAAGAAAAAACAGAATGGAACAATGATTTTTCAATCATTCTTTGATTTTCAATCATGCTTCAAGTTAAATTCTTTTTTCAATCTTTGATTTTTTTTTCCCTTAAACACTTGCACTATTGAAATATGAGAAGTATGCTCATGGTTCAAAGCTAGCAACCTTTTGTAAGAACTTTTGAGTATAGAGGATTTTAGTTAATATTTTGAGACCTCTATTATTTGATAATTTTATGGACTACTTGTTGTGTTGTATTTTATACTTTTTAAAATATTAGTGCTAATTGTAATTTATTTAAAAATAATATTTTTTTTAATTCACAACATTCACATGCACAACCAAACACAGTAATATAATATTCTTGGGAATTTGAGAAAGATTCATGTATGGAACCAAACACAGTAATGTATTATTCTTAGAAATCATATTACCCTCCATTATTTTTCCGGTAATATAATTCCTACTGATTCCTGCATACCAAACGCCCCCTAAAATGGGGTAATGTGAAACCCATGGGCTTAACTTTTTTAAGTTTTAAAAAAGTTTAATAATTATATTAAACATTCAAATTCCCATTTTCATCTTTGTGATTACCCCATACCAAACGCCCCTTGCAGTTGATATTACGGGACTCATTGCTAAAAAAAAAAAAAAAAAATGTATATACGGGGATGCTACGGTAGGGGCGCATTTTTCCCCTACGCGTACAGTGATTTTAAAGTGCCTTCTTCAGACCAACCAATCAAGATCGAATGTAGAAAATAATGAAGGACTACCAAATAAAAATAAAACCTTCCACACGTAATTATTACAACATAATTTTAAAAAAAAAAAAAAAAACCAAATATGAGTTTCTAAGGTTTTATTTTTGGGGCGCATCTTGCCATTCATTGCCATTGCCGTAGCTGAGTTTCAAAGAAACCCCCGAGGAAGTGACGCCACCCTTGATTGCTCTCATTCTGGTCCCTGCGTTCCTTCGATTGCCTCTATTCCGAAAAGGTCTCTCTCTCTCTCTCTCTCTCTCTCTCTCTCTGTTTTTATTGAAACTTTCGATATATATTTTTTTTTTTGGGAAATCTAACAAAATTCTTTCATATTCTTTCGATATGTTTAACTCTTGTTTGATATCTCCGATCTCCCTTGATTGGAAGTTGATTCTGTACGGTTCTAACGCAGCATTTGCCTTTAATTACTAAGTGGTTATTCGGGTTATTATATTATGTCATTGTTATGATTTGCAAACTGGTGTTCCCTTGTGAAGATGAGATTCAGACATTGAGGAGTTAGTGAGTGGGAACAGACAATGGTGATAATAATAAACAGTCTTATTAGTATTTGGGGGAAAACAGAAAACATTAGTGTGTGACAAGGAGAAGTATAATGAAAAGAGATTCAAAGTTTGTCACTTTTGTTTGAAGTTGAAGTTGGGCTGATGGGTTATTCAAGTTTTCTGTCGGAAATTTTTATTTCAATTTATTTACTCTTTAGTTTATGGGATTCGTTTTATTGTGGAATTTGTTGATAGGTATGTGATTGATGTTTTTGGAATGCTTTTAATTGTGATTTTTGGTTGCTATTGATGAAAATTGCTTTGTTCACTCATATGGAAGAAGGAAACAGAAATAAATATATTGTGTTGCTTTGGTAAAATGTTTCACTTTGTAGGAATCAAAGAAACTGATATTAAGCAATACGTGAACTTAAAGAAGCTATACGCAGTTTTATACTGTATGTGTGTGTGTATATATATATATATATATATATATATATATACTCGTGATAGTCTAACAAAAGAAGAAATAAGCACACCCATTTCCTTTTCAGGTTTGTAGTTTTGCTATTGCATCTTATTGTACTTGAATCATGAATGGCAAATGTTGGTATAGTAGTTAGATAAAGTTTATTTGGTAGTGGAGATTAATGGCAAGCTAAACTATATCCACTTGGGGGTTTGTTGTTTTAATTGTTCCTTAAATTTAAAGTCTTACTTAAGGACATGAAGATTTTTTTTTTGACTGGATTTGATTTGTGGTGGGTGTTGCATCTTTGATTCTGCAGGAAAGGAAGATTCAACAATGAACAAGGGTAAGATTTTCAAGCTAGCGAAGGGGTTCCGGGGAAGGGCGAAAAATTGCATTAGAATAGCAAGAGAGAGAGTGGAGAAGGCCTTGCAGTATTCCTACAGAGATCGCCGAACCAAGAAGCGAGATATGCGCTCCCTCTGGATCGAGCGCATCAATGCTGGAACACGCCAACATGGGGTATGTTCTTTGTTGCTTCTAGTGGTCAATTACAGGTCAATAACTTGGAGCTATACTTGACGACTCCAAGGCACTCATACTTTCTTCTTTCATTATTTTTGGGGCATTCCATAATGTCATTATTTACTTTAACTTGATTTTTGGGCTGGAAAAACCCTGACTACATCCTAGTCTGGAGAATTGCTTTTCAGCGAGCTCTGTTATTGAGCTTCACTTAATCTATACATAGCACCTATACAGATATAAAATGCTTTTACCTTGCGGCTTAGGCAACAATCTTATTACAGCTTGTGACGAGTGAAAACCGTTATGTTTTTTGTCGAATAGTCAAATGAGTAATGTCTAATGACTCCATCCGATTATTTAAATATTTTTATCCAACTTACCATGAGCAGTTTTAGTCGTCCTTATTTTCACTGCAAGCTTGTTGGTAAATAATTTATGTTTTGCTCTGTAGTTTTGGAAGGCGTTCTTTTTCTTTGCTTCAGGTACTTTTGATAAGATGTTAATGCCTGATGAACAGAGGAAGAATGTAGATAGAAGACAAAAAGAGAGAAAGGAAGACGAGCGAAAGAAAAAGGGAGGAGAATTTAGAATTTAATCAACGCCATTTATAATCAAATGTGTTTTGAAATAACAATCACTAGACAAGAAATAAAGCATATTAGTGGAAACCGGAAACTAACCAAATACTAGTGAGAGGAGGTTTAGTAAAAATAGATCGGAAATTATTTGTTTAATCTCTACTTTCTTTATATATCAGCTGTTCTTGTTTTTCATCATATATGTTTAAACGTGAGAAGTTTCAGTTTCTCTCTTTATTCTGGACGGTTATTTGTTGTTATTAGGTTAACTATGGCAACTTTATGCATGGGCTGACAAAGGAGAACATCCAGCTAAACAGGAAAGTTCTGTCGGAGTTGTCGATGCATGAACCATACAGTTTTAAGGCTCTTGTCAACATCTCCCGCAGTTCCTTCCCGGGAAATAAGAACATTGTGTTTCCTCCCAAGAAGGAAGGTATCTCAATTGTTGTATAACCGACTAATAGAGCAGCTCCTAAGAAGGAAATGGACCTAGAGTTCTTTATTTAGTAGGAAACTTTATGGTAACAAATTTATAGTTAGCTGTTTTCGGGAAAGAAAGGCGGGATGTGTTTGCGGTTCATTTTGTGCAACAATCCATTTTGATAGTTGTTTATTTGGCAATTATTAGTTCATCTTGACTTTGGGAAAATTTTTGAGAGCATAATAATCTGTGTCATCTAGGCTTTTGTTTTTCTGGAATTCATTAGCCTCGTGTTTATGTTTTTTCGTCAACTATAAACATATTTAAGTAAGCAAACACACTGTAAACAAATTAATAGTAAAGTAAAAAAAAAAAATAGTATGCTGTAAACATTTTTATATTTACATAGAAAAATTAATTATTGTTCCTTCGAGAATCAGCAAACTAGAAATAAATGAATGGTTTATAGCATAATTGCCCTTCAAACTTTTTGGCTTTGGACAACTAGTCTCGTAAGCTTTTTAGTTTTGACAATTAGCATGTTGCTATGTATCCCGCGCGCAAGGTCGCCATAACGCCCAACTCATCACTCTGAAGATATGTTGCCCCTCCTTTCAAAAAACAAAAAACAAAAAAAAAAACAGAAAAATGATATGTTGCCCTCTACCTGAATTGTTTGTAATTATCTAAAACCTATCATATATTTTGTTTTTTTTTCCCTTGCTCTTTTCCTTAGTGCACTTTGGTATAAGGGTTTTAAAATCCAGAATCATGATTTTGATTCAAATCAGTGTTTGTTTACAAAACGTAAAAAGTGATTCTGATTTGAATCACTCATAATTAGTGTTTGGTTTAGATGGTTATGAATCATGATTTGACTCTAATGTGATGTTTTAAATCAAAATAACTCATTATTTTAAAACCAATCCCCCTTTGATTTTGGGTAGTTCAAACCTCTGATTTTTGTTTTGGTTTCAGAATTATGATTTGGATTTAAAATTATGAATCATGATTCTGGTTCTAAAATTAAAATTAAGTCACTCTGGTTTAAATTCTCATACCAAACGAAGCACTAATTCTCTTCATGCATCCAGGGATTATTAAAATCTCTTTAAAACTTGACATTTATTTTATATCTCCACCTCTATTCGGTAGATTAAGAAAAAAAAAAGGATGGTATTTTTCACGTTTATCCTTCTGAAACAATATTCAAACACTCAAATTATATATATATATATATACATGGATTCAATTAACTCATTTTCTTCAAATCTCTTCTATCTTCCTCAATCAATTATCCAACGCCCCTGAACACAAAATCGTGCACCGTTTTGCGCATTTGGTCGGTGTACAATGTACATCAACGACGGTCACACAAAATGAACACTTTGAAGGAGAAAGAGGGTGGAAGAAAATAGGGAGAAACATAAGAAATGAGGAGGAAATGGATTAGAGGCAGCGAAGGAGCGAAACTAGAGGTAGACCATGGGACTTGAATACTCAATATATCATAAACAACTACACCAATTGAGCTAGATAGAGAGGAAATAGAAGAATATGGTTTTTAATAGAAGAGGATAGTTCTCAACGATAAAAATTACTTTAATTTTGAAATGCTTAGACATTAAATTCAGAAAGTACGTGTTAGTTTATAATAATTTCTCCGATTATTATTATTGGTGCTTTTAAATTTTGAAGTCATTCTTAGTTTACTTTATGAATTTTAAAAATTATCATTTTACCCTATTGGACTTTAAATTTCTCCCACTTAACCCCTTTTTTTGTAATTTATGTTAAAATCAGACAAAAGAGATGGCAATTTAAGTGTGGTTATATGGTTTTTATCTCTTTGTTTTTAATAGAAATTCAAACAAAAAGACCATGTGACTGCATTACTCTCTTTTTTCTATATATTTTTAACATAAATTACAAAAGAAATTGTTAAGTAAAAACAATTTAAAATTCATGAGGTAAAGTGATAATTTTTAAAATTAAGATGACAAATTGATTATAACTCTAAAATTAAGAGATATCAGTGATAATAATCTTAATTTCTTTGCTTCGTGAAACACTTGCAGTATCTTCACCTCTCCGCGGCAAATTTTAGTGAAAGGATTTCTCGTTTCGGCGCATTATATGTTGGCACTATTTTGCAATTGGCATCCAGTTGCTTGTCTTTTGCAATGTCCTTGCTTCTCTATTAGTTCCACATTCTTTTTAAGAATTAAGTACTTAGGGGGCGTTTGGTATGCAGTAATTTTAAGGATGAGAATGAGAATCTGCAATATTATCATGTTTGATACAAGAATTATAATTTTTAGATTCCCAGGAAAGTGATTACCATGGGATTCACTTTCCTTCATTTTAAGATAATTTGAATACCACCCAATATGGTGTTATTCAAATTCCCAGGAATCTCAAAATCATGGGAATATTATTATTATTATTATTAGTATTATTAGTATTATTAGTATTATTATTATTGTTATTATTATTATTCTTATTATTGTTATTATTGTTATTATTATTATTATTATTATTATTATTGTTGTTGTT